GAGCTCAGAGCAGGAGAGAGGCCACGAGAAGGGACTGCAGGACTGCACCCTGAGTGCAAAAACACTGTCATTCCCAACGGGATGGGGAGCTTGGACTTTCAGCTGCTTCAGATCCATCTTGCTGTACACAAAAGGAACACCTGGAATGTTTTTAACATATAGGGAAAGTCTCCTGAATTAGTGAAAGGAATAAGCTGCTTCCCAGGCAGCCCAAACCCAGCCTGGTGTCGAGCGAGTGAGACCAGCACTCAGTTCAAGGTGGGAATGCCAGGAGCTGGAATCAATTCCAGCCTCAACAGCTGATCACAAAAGAGCTGAAGAACTCTCAAAAATGGCTTTTTGCTTCGCCCAAGGTGCCTATTTTAATCCAAGAGCACCTTTTCCTTTGCAGCACAGAGGTGCCTGGGCAGTGGGAATATAAACCCTCCAATACTCAAAGGCCAGAATTTCTTGAATCAAATTGTGGCTTGACAGGAGCAACCTCAGAGAGCAATGATATTTTCACCTGTATCAACAGCAGAGGGAAAGCCTCTTGTATCTGGCCCCTTTGACAAACTGCTGCCCCACCCCTGGAAGTGTCCAAGGCCAGGTTGGACAGGGCTTGGAGCAACCTGGGCTAATGGAAGGTGTCCCTGCCCATGGCAGGGGGGTAGGTCAGATTATCTTTAATGTCCTTCCAACCCAAGCCATTCCAGGATTCTAGGATTCTTTATTCACAGTGGGGGAAAAAAAAAAAAAAACCAACAAGAAAGAATCAATAAATCTGCAAGAACTGGACATTTTTAAGAACTGGACATCAGTGTCAGCTTGGGCTGAAGTTTAGGGTGGAAGGTGCCAGCCTGTAAAAGTCTGTTCCTCGGGTCAGATCAAATCCAAAAGGTTGCTACAATCTGGATCTTATTTTGTTGTGTTTTACTGAGACACTTTTCAGCCATTCAGGGCACATTCCCTTCTCCACCTTCCCACTTGCCTGCACTGTCCCTTGTGTGGGAAGTGTCTGCTTCTGAAGAAAGGACACTAAACCTCATCCTGGCCTGAATGTATCCTGTATTTTGCTCCAGTTTAACAGACTTCATTTCAAGGACCAACACTCTCCAAATCCCTTCCAAAACCTAAAACAAACCCCCCAAAAAAAGGGATGCACTTAAAATATAAATGCATTTATTTCCTTTATTACACATGGGGTAATTCTACCAGCTCCATCACATGAGGGAAGAATCAGGCCCTCAAAACTGAGCTTTCACCATCTCCTGTGCTCCTGAGAAGTTGCTACATCAGTGCCAGTACATCAGTATTGCAGTCAGGTCCTGGCAGCTTCCACATGGTGGGACTTCAGCACCTTCTGCTGCCTGGACTCTTCCCTTTTCACTGGTGCTCACTCTTTATTTGCACAGACATTTCCTGAGGAATTGATCTCCTCTGTGCCTGCCTTTGGGCCCTGTATTTATTCTGCTTGCTAACAGTGTTGTTTAGCAAGCTAATTTTTCACCTCCCCACGGCCAAGATTGGATTTCTGTGTGGCACATTTTGGGGACTGCACCAGCCTCACTAATCCCTGCTGAGCCCAGCTGTGGGCTGCTGGTGCCACCTGGAGTACGACAGCTGCACCCAAAATCCTCCCAGATCCCACACCCTGGAGCACACAGCCTGCAAAATCCCTTTGGATCTCATTCCCAAAGCCTGGACACTTTGAAAGCTCACAGGGAGCCAAGCTGAGCTGCTCACAAGAGCTTGGAGCTGCAGGCACCGGAAAGCTCAGCCCAGGAAGGGACAGCAAAAGCCACCAAATGCTTTTAGAAACCTCAGCTCGAAGTTGGGGAGCCCAGCTTTCAGTATTTGTCTGAAATCAGCCTCTTGCTTGCCCAAACACACTGAGAAACACAGACTAAAGTATATTTTTAGCTCAACCACGAAGTCAAAGCACAACAAGAAGCAGCTGCTGAAGCAGCCCAGGCTGTTTGGGACATGAGCTGTGTCCTAATACACTCCCTGCCTTTGGAAACAAGTAAAATAGAGGCATCCTGGACACCCTGGGGCTAAATTGTACACCAGGAAAGACAGAGCAATCCGAGAGGACTGCAGCAAAACTGTCCCTGTGGGAGCAGAGACACAACAGAATAATTTATCCAGTGTCAGGGGGGGTCATCAGTGACCCATCCCCACATCCAGACACACAGGGTACGAACAGAGTAAGGAATCAGAGGATTCCAGAATGGTTTGGGTTGGAAGGGACCTTAGAGATGATTCAGTCCCACCCCCTGCCATGGGGGGAAGAACCTTTTCCTGAGACCCAACCTAAACCTTCTCCTGCCACACAGAAGACTGTTTTGGATTTTTTGTTTGTTTTACAGAACCCCCCCACACACTGTTTGTTTTTTACAGTCATTTTTCCTAATAAAACAGCAGCTTGAGACTCCCTCTAAAGCTAAACAAGGATGAAAATGCACTTCCTGAAAAATCAGCAGCTCCAGGAAGGCTCCCCTGCACTTCACCATGTCCAAAATCCTCCTGGCACCCAGGCCAAGCAAAAAGAAAAACTTCCATCCCAGCAGGGAGTGTTTCAAGAATCTTCCATCATCAACCACAGAAAGCAAATGTTACTATTAGCCTGTAATTCCTAATAACCACAGGAAACACTTCCATGAAAGTTTGCTTCTATTTTCAGTTTATTTCATTTATTTGCCTGTGCCTAAAACACTTGAAACAGCTGAAGCATCAGGAGCACCACTGCAAACCTCACACACAAACACTGCCAGCATCTCCCCCACTCCACTTGCACTGGAGGCACTGAAGAGCCCGTGCCCTGTTGGTGTTTTATGCAAGGCACTGATGGCATGGAATCAGTGCTGTCTCACTGTGGGACTTTAAAAAGCAACTATTAACTGAGCACCTTTTATCAAGGTATCTGCAACCAGGCAACTACAAGGGCTTACACCTCGACAACACACCCCACCCCAGCTAAATTTAGCCCGGATTCAATGCCAGGGCTAAAATAAAACCATTGCTTAAGCAATATTCACTTTATCCACAGCAAGGGAAATTTGTTTGAAGGTGAATCAAGAGGTCACAACAGTCTGAAGAGATGCTGCTCAAAGGCAAACTCTGTTATGCAACTGCAATGTCAAAGAACAGCTTTCTCTGAACCACTAATGCTTGTTTGCCTTCTCTTTGGGCTAATTGTGCCCTCAGGGAGAATCCTGGAAAGGACTTTTTACAAGAGCTTGTAGTGCCAGGACAAGGGGGAATGGATTCAAACACAGAGGGCAGGGTTAGGAGGGATATTGGGAAGGAATCCTTCCCTGGGAGGGTGGGCAGGCCCTGGCACAGGTTGCCCAGAGAAGCTGTGGCTGCCCCAGCCCTGGAAGTGTCCAAGGCCAGGTTGGACGGGGCTTGGAGCAACCTGGGCTGGTGGAAGGTGTCCCTGCCCATGGCAGGGAGTGGGACTGGATGAGCTTTGAGGTCCCTTCCAACTCAAACCACTCTGTGATTCCACCCCCAAAGCAACCAGTTGCTGCTAAATAAATCAGATTCTCTTTTGACTGCACTGCACTTGTTATCTGTGGAGGGAACCATGCCGAGGGGAGGAGGGAGCTGGTTTATTTTTATAGCCACAAAAACCTCTCTTGGTTTGTTATTGGCAGGAAAAACGTTCTATGGCATGGAAAAGAAACAACTTTTCTTCTTCACTGCTGAGTGACCATTAAAGAACTGGGTGAGCAGCAGAGGAGGGGAGGGCTGGGAGAGGCAGCTGGAACTGCAAGGAGACAAACAAAATAGTTTCAAGTCTTTGAAAATGCAGATTTGAAACAGCAGCTCCTACTAGTTGATCCCATACTGGCATTCCCCTGAATGCCAAAGGAAGGGAGAAATACGGACCCACTAATCTGGATAATGAATTCCTGTCCCTGGAGCATCACAAGGAAATCAAAACTCCTCAGGGAGCTGTTCTTTGTGACAAAAGAATTCTGGGAGGAAGGTGACCTTCCTTCCAGCACTGCTTTCATCTGCCAAATGGCCACCTCTTCTAAAAGCAAAGTCTCATTCACACCCCAAAGCAAAGCAGCAGTGACTGGGTGAGACAGTGAAAACACTCCTACAGCCGTACCAACACCACCCAGGGCCAGCACAGAGCCCTGCACCCCAAAAAGGCAGGGCAGGGTGGCCAAAACCACCCACTGTCCCTCTCAGGGGTCAGTACAGGTACCACAGCCCAGCTGGGGTCCCCTGTCCCAAAGCAACAGTCACAGGGGCACAGGGAGAACTTCAGAGCTCAGCTCTCAGTGACCACAAGGGCCTTCTCAGAAGCACCAGGGAGATGCCCAGGGCAGTGGTGGAGTCATCAGCCCTGGCAGTGCTCAAAACAACCTGCCTGGGCAGGCACATCTGCAGGGCTGGGCCCAGCTCTGGCTCCTCAGCACAGCAGGCACAGGGAGCTCCTGGAGCAGGTCCTGGAGGCCACAGAGGTGAGGTGGGGTCTGGAGCTCTCTCTGATGAGCAGAGACTGAGGAAGCTGGGCCTGGTTAGTCTAGAGAAGAGAAGACTCAGCAGGGATCCCTCCAATCCATACAAATATCTCCAAGGCAGGAGCCAGGAGGATGGTGCCAAACTCTTCTCAGTGGTGCCCAGTGACAGTCCATGAACTAAACCACAAGTTCCACCTCAACATGAGGAAGAACTTCTTCCCATGGAGGTGGCAGAGCCCTGGAACAGCTGCCCAGGGAGGGTGTGGAGTCTCTCCCCCTGGAGACATTCCAAGCCCCCTGGATGTGTTCCTGTGTCACCTGCTCCAGGTGACCCTGCCTGGGCAGGGGGTTGGACTGGATGATCTCCAGAGGTCTCTTCCTACCCCAACTACCCTGTGATTCTGTGATCTCTGTCCTACCATGTCTGAGGGTCCAGAGCAGCATCTGTCACACAAAGAACACCCTCTTCCACTGCTCTGGTCCGAGTCCACCACCCAGACCCCCATCCTGTCCCCCCCCAGGGCTGTGCAGCCTCACCTTGTTTGGTGAGCGCGTCCCTCAGGGCCGGCGTTATCATCTCCCTCTTCTCCTCCTCCTTCCTGCCAGGGTTCTCTCTCCTTCCAACATCTCCTTCCTGGAGTTCATGTTCTCCCTGTTCAAAGACAGTGAATTACAACCATTACAACCACTTAGATTCCAGCATCACACTTTAAACACCGTGGCACAGCTCAGTTAAACCAGTTAGAACTGAGGCAAGTGCCCACACAGCAATTCCTGCTTTGGTGTAATCCTGCAATTTATCCCTTTTCCCTTCAGACTCTGATCTGACCCTTTGGTAATTTAGGACAGTAAATTGGAAGGGAAAACCGCCAAAACATACTGGATTTTTTTCTGCTAACACAGCAATGACATTCTCAAGGATGGTTTAACAAACAGGGTGTTAAATCCCATCCAAGAGCGAGAGGGACTCCAGGATTTAATCCCCAGTGTTCCATGACAGCACAACCACCCTATATCTCCACAAACCAGTGTCTGGAGTGACACATATTGGGGAGAGGAAAACCCACCCCACTCCAGTGACAGCCCAGGAGTTCACACAGCAGAATTTGTGCTCTCCACAAGCCCCCTGAGGCACCCCCAAAATTCTGCCACCAACCAAGACCCTGCAAGGAAAGGCTGTTCCCTGCATCCCATAGCAGTCTGGCCTCCAGCTGAGCCCCTGGAGCTTACTAAAAACCCAAAGGCCAGGAATACCAGGTATTAGGATACAGTTCCAAGCAGGAGAAGCAAACTCTGGCACACAAAAAGTGGTGTCACTCCTGAGACTTTCTGGGTATTTATTGTCTCATGTCTGCACAAAGAAGCATCAAAGTGTAAATAATGGCTCGGATATTTCATGCAACTTGTAATCTGTCAGCCCTTTATGGCTTTTATTACAGGAGTTATGGATAAACAACAAACAAAACCAAGCAGAGGACATTTTGTCTGCACAAAAGCTGAGGGTATTTCACATCCAAGGCTCTTTTTGTGCCAAACTCATCAAGAAGTTCATAGAAACGCTTCCAGTTTTCGAGTCTGCCCACCAACTGTCAGCATCACTACGGAAACCAGCGCTCCTGACTTGTCAGACTCTTCTTCCCGAGCAGGGAAAGGGATTGGGCTGCTCCTGGATGTAAACAGGCTTATTTTGGACCTGAATAAATAAGAGGTGCCTCAGAAAAAAAAAAAAAAATCAGAAGTAGTAATAAAAACCCCCACAGACAGACTCAGAGGTTTAAGGACAAAACCGTTCCTGATAAGCTTTCGAGAAGGAAGCAGGAGAGTAAAATATTTAGAGGCAGAGATGATTGCCTTCCTTACTCATTGGGGATAAAACTGGGCTCCCAGGCTCAGGGATGTTGTGCAGAAAGGTCTTTTCCAACAACCACAACGTGGTCCTTCCTGAAGGAGAAAGCTGTGTGCACCTTCTGCCTCCTCACACTCAAGTTTGCTGAGCTGTCAGGAAGGAATTCCTTGGGTTCTACAACACATCAGAACTGCCCTCCAAGGCTACATCTAATAATCACCAGTCATTTGGTGGGTTTAAAAAGCTCATTTCTTGAGCCTTGATCTTCATTTATCAGCAAGACTCTCCAACAGTAAAATATTAATATTGCTGGGAAAGCCTCATGCATAAGGAAGGAAGGAGATGGAAGATGAGGATTTTATCTATTAAATGTTAAATAAAGAGTTTCTCCTGCCACAAGCCATCATTTAAGCCAGAACTAGGCCCAAGGAAAGGCTCTGCCTTAGACTGAGCACCCTGGCCTAGTGGAAGGTGTCCCTGCTATGACAGGGGGTGGGACTGGCTGAGCTTTAAGGTCCCAACCATTCCATGGTTCTGTGATTTGGGAGCCACTCAAAATGCTCAGTAGGATTTAAACATGGACATGTGCTCTGTAATCTCCTGCCAAGCCAATTCTCCCACAAGAACTCTCTCTACGTTATGGAGCACATCACAATATTTAAAATGCAGCAAATTGATTTAATTCCAAATGACACATCCCACCCAAGACACTCCTCAAATACGGAAAGAGTCCTTCTACATGTAAAGCATTTACATTTCTACCTCCCTGTCACTGCAGGAGCTGACAAAGGCACCCAAAACACCATTCTGGCAGGGCAGAAATACAGTTCAGTGATCATTTTTCCCCTCCCAGAGATGACCATGATTTTCCCTCCCCACACCCTTATGTGAGAGCCTGTAAACAAAATAATCCCGTGTTTTTCCCTGAGCTGCAATCCCTGACTCGCTCCCTTTGGCAAGTGATCGGCCTCAGATACTCCTGAGGGGGGGGAAATGGGAATTCCCAGCCCAGGGAGTTGCCCTTATTTGCTTAATAAACCTTTCCTATCTATTATTTAGGCTTGGAGTGAACAGAAGGTAACTTTGCACAGAGCAAACTTGCCAAGCGGTGGTGATTGAGCACAAAGCCCTGTAGTAAATCCAAGGCAGATTCCTGCCTTTCCATAACAAATCAAGTAGGCAGTGACAAGAGCCAGCTTTTCAGGCCCTTTTTTTTCCACTGTCAAAAAAAATGAAGAGTCATTCCCTGGTGTGAATTCCCAAAGAAGAGAACCTACAGATGAGAAACCCATGGATACAGCCAGATTCCCTGGAATCAGGGCTCAGCAGAGGTGCTGCTGCCACTGGCATAAATCACCTTCCAAGGGTTTAAAGGATTTCCTCTACAGATTTGCTTCCCAAACTCAGCCCCAGCTGCACCCAAATGTGACCAACAGGATGTGCTGCTGCCACTTCTTCTCAGTGAGGAGCTCCCTCCAGGATGTCCAGCTGCCCAGTATCTCCCTGGTTTCTACCTGGCTACATCAAACATCCTGCAAATTAATCTTGCAGGAGGAGAAAAATAAAAAAGAGGTACATAAACTCCATGTAAAGGCTGAGAAAGTTGGGGCTGTTCAGCCTGGAGGAGAAAAGGTTGTGTGGTGACCTCAGAGCACCTTCCAGGATCCAAAGGGGCTCCAAGGCAGCCAGGAAGGGACTCTGCATCAGGAACTGCAGTGACAGGACATGGAGAATGGGTTCAAACCAAAAGAGGGGAAATTTAGGTTGGATATTGGGAAGGAATTGTTCCCTGTGAGGGTGGGCAGGCCCTGGCACAGGTTGCCCGGAGAAGCTGTGGCTGCCCAAGCCCTGGAAGTGTCCAAGGTTGTCCAGGTTGGACAGGGTTTGGAGCAACCTGGGCTGGTGGAAGATGTCCCTGCCCGTAGCAGGGGGTGGAACAAGATGGCCCTTCCAACCCAAACCATTCCATGATTCCCCACATTAAATTAATTTAGCCCTTTCAGCCTCATTTGTTGTGCCATGGCTGAAAAAACAAAGTTCCCCCAGAAGCTTTTACTCTGAGAAGAAAAATGATACCCAGGACACCCTCATTTTGCCTAAATTTCTTTCCTGCTTAACCTCCCAGTGGTCAGACAAGAGGAAGCCGTGGCCCTGCCATGATTTACAGCCTCATCCATCTAAAGGCTCCGGGATCTTTTAACAAATGAAAGGCACAGGCATAAGGAAAACAGTGATACATCAGGGGCTGGGGCCAGGACTAACAGAACCAGAGCTGGCAGGGCTCTCAGGAAAAGGCTGCCTGGCAGCAGGAAGGATTAGCAAAACCTGCCCTGGGGAGTTGTTAAATGAAGTACTAAAGTTCATGAATTACATGAATGAAGAGTTAAAGTTCACAGCAAGCAAAGCTCCAGGGGCAGGAGGACAGCCAGGAATGATGACAGCTTTTCCCCCTCCCTCTGGCTCATCTGTCAGGGATGGCAAGAGCCACGTGGGGATTTGGGAAGTTGAGGAGACACCAGGCTGCCCACAGGAATGGCACTTGTTTCCTTACAAAACAACCTTCCTGTAAGGCAAAAACACATGGAAAAGAAAGGCCAAAGGAGGTTCAGACCCTGAGCTCTGCTCTGGGGGGAGCAGGGACAGCCCCCAGGGAATGGCTGGAGCTGTGTCAGGGCAGGCTCAGGGTGGATCTCAGCGAAAGGTTCTTCCCCCAGAGGGTGGTTGGCACTGAACAGGCTCCCCAGGGCAGTGGGCACAGCCCCAAGGCTGCCAGAGCTGCAGGAGGGTTTGGATGATCCTCTGGGGCACAGGGGGGGACTCTTGGGGCTGGGCCTGTGCAGGGCTGAGGGTTGGACTCCAGGATCCTTGGGGGTTTCTCCCAGCTCAGCACATCCTGGGATTCTCTGAGAGCAGCAGAGGTGCTCCATGGACTGTCGTGCTCCAGGTTCAGAGCTGTGGCTGTCACAGGCACAGCCAGAGCTGCAGTTTGCTCAGCCCGTGGATGAACACCCTGGCAGTGGCACAGCCACCCCGCTCTCTCTGCTGTCACTCACGGCAGAAAGGGCTTGGAGCCTTCACAGGGAACACAAAGATGAATGCTGGAAACTTGGCCTGAGTGAGCTGTGAACCAGCAAACAGCCCAACAGCAAGAAAATCTTATTAAAAAGAGCTGCCAGAGTCAACACAATCCCAGGCTACATCCCCACGCCACCATCGCTGCCCAGTGCAGCACAAGAGCCTGAACCACTGCAAAGAGCTGAGAGGTGGAACCGGGCAATCCATCACCTTGCCAGGACTGAAACACAGGGTGGCTTGGCCAGAAGTAAAAATCACAGCCTGTGTTGTCAAGAAGTGGCCCTTAAACCACAGAATCACAGACTGGGTTGGGTTGGAAGGGACTGTAAAGCTCATCTTGTTCTACCCCCTGCCATGGGCAGGGATCTTCCACTAGCCCAGATTGCTCCAAGACCTCTCCAACCTGGCCTTGGACACTTGCAGGGCTGGGGCAGCCACAGCTTCTCTGGGCAACCTGGGCAAGGGCCTCAGCACCATCACAGGGAGGAATTCCTTCCCAATATCCCATCTAACCCTGCCCTCTGTGTTTGAAACCATTCCCCCTCATCCTGTTTTTCCAGGCCCTTGTAAACAGTCCCTCCCCATCTTACTTGTAGGGTCCCTTCAGAATGGGGAAAGTCCTTGAGAAGTTCTGACTGATACCAAAACAATTAGAAAAAACAACAACCTCAGAAGCACTGGAGTAGAAACCCCTGTGAATGTTCAGTGAGGAGGTGGAAGGAAGATCCATC